GACCTCATCTCTACAATAAATCAAAAATTAGCCGGGTGTGGTAGCGCGTGCCTGTAGTTCAGCTACTTGGAAGGTTGAGGCAGAAGGATCGCCGGAGCCCAGCAGGTCGAGGCTGCAGTGGCCGGGAGTTGCCACTGCACTCCAGTCTGGGAGACAGAGTGAGACTCCAACTCAAAAAAAAGATTAAAAAAAATAGAAAAACAACATGTTAATCCTGGTTACGGATCCTAGATCCTTTTAGCTACCGCTTTAACCTCATATTCCAGAGTACTTTTGGTTTAGAAAATGGAAAACTGCAAAGAGGTGAATAACTTGAAAGCGAGTATGAATGATATGAAATACATGATAAAAAAAGTGAACTGCATTATTCTACTTTAGGATATAGTTATGGTTAACTAATAAGACTGTGTTCCATACTTTTCTGTCTCTGAATCCAGAACGTTTCTTTTTTTTCTCTTCTGGATAAGGTTCAGGATCTGTAGCCTTTTTTTCATGGTTACAAACTTCCCCTTCATCTCTATTCTTCTCTTTTTCACCAATTTCAGCCTTTAAGTTGTTTACAGATGGTGGAGATTCTGCATGGGCCCTGAATAAGCAAAAAAAGGAGTCTGGATTAACCATGAAAGTCCATTATGCTAACCAAATAAGCAAAAAGACACAGCTTAGCAGGAGCAACAGCAATAAAATTTGTCAAAAATTCTACATAAAGAAGTTCCTTTAAAAAATTAAAACAGAACTATCATATCATCTCTGGGTATATAGCCAAAAGAACTGAAAACAGGATCTCAAAGAGATATTTGCACACCCATGTCCACAGCAGCACCATCACAATAGCTGAAATGTAAAAAAAGCCCAGAAATCCACTGGCAGATAAATGGGTAAACAAAATGTGATATATTCATATAATGGAACATTATTCAGCCTGAAAAAAGAATGAAATCCTGTTACATGCTACAACATGGATAAACCTTGAGGACACTATGCTAAGCGAAATAAGCCAGTCCAAAAAATACAAATACTGTATGAGTCCACTCATATAAGCTACCTAGAGTTCTTAATTTGTAGAAACAGAAAGTAGAATGATGGTTACCAGGGGCTGATAGAAGGGGAAACAAGGAAGTTGCTTTTGAATGAGTACAGATGCAAGATGAAAATGTTCTGGAGATCTGTTTCACAATGATGTAAATATACTTAACGTTACTGAACTATATACTTTAAAATGGCTAAGATGGTACGTTTTATGTTATGTGTCTTTTACCACAATAAAAAAGTACATAAATAAAGAAGGAATAGGGGCCCAAAAGAATTAAAAACAAGTATTGCAGTAGTTGAAACCACTCAGTAATGACATAAAAATAAAATTAATTAAACATTACAGAACTGATGAAACACAACGATACACAAAAAGAAGAATTTTGCCACCAGCCATAATGGAGCAACTGTACTGGATTTGACTTTCCACAGGAGGGGAAAATACAGAAAATTGAGCAAAATATATCATCAATCAATGGTTCTCAGATACTGCAAAATAGATAGCAATTCTAAAAAAAGTAAGGTCTATAATTGCCTGGAAATTCAGTCTGGAGATATTTTCCAGGCCACAAACAAGACTCAAGCAAAATACAATGATCTTGCTAAACTGAGGTGACAAAGATAAAAACTTGGAGAAGCTGAGATACCTGGAATTGAAGAAGCCAAACAGAGAAAGAGCTCCAAGACGCTACATGGAAGGCTCATGAGCACTGAGTTAATACTTATCAATGTATTCTTAGGATGAAACTACCCAAAATAATTACCAAGGCCTATAGGCCAAATAACGTCTAGGGCTCATAAGCAGGTAATGTTACAGTTCTGACAAGTCAGAGCAGAGCAACCTCATTGAAAACCCAAGGAATTTAGTAACAGCGAAGAAGGACCATGCTATATCAGTAAGGTTCAATTAGCCTTAGAGAAGAGGGTATGACTGAAGATGCTTTAAAAAAAAAAAAGTTTAATAACAAGCTTTGGAAGATCAAGCAGGTTCTCTAGTAAATTAACTGCCACATTGAATATTAAGAACAGCCACACTGAAAACTAAAAATCAATACTTGTAAAGAAAAATAACAAATTCCAAACACTAAGCCATATAAAATTCATAATGCATAAAACTGAATTAAAAGATTCTTAGGCAGACTTCAGCAAGACTGTCCCAGGCCTTATTCTCCCTTAGAAAAAAAACAACTGAACAAAGATATACCAACCAAAATACCTTTAGGAGAATTCCAGAATCCAGTTGAAAGATTGTAGTACCCCAGGCAAAGCTCATAAAGCTAAGAACAGCCATATTGAAACAAGTAAGAAAAGCAATTTCACTTTACTTGCATCAGCTCCTTCCCAACACAGACACAGCTGAGCACAGAGAGAGAACACCCCAGTTGGAGACTTCTAGGGAAAAGGGTGGGAGGTATCACTACATAGGCTTAGCAGATAAGATACCACAGGAAAAGAGATAGTGATCTTGATGACATAACAATCAAAACTACCAAAACTGAACACAGAGAGGGGAAAAAAAAAAGGCTGAACAAAAGATAAACAGAACTTTAGTGACGTGGGACAATATTAGATGGGCTAGCACAGAGGTGTCCAACCTTTTGGCTAGGTCACTGAGTAACCTTTTGGCTTCTCTGGGATGCATCAAGTAAAGAGGAATTGCCTTGGGTCACATATAAATTATACACTATAGTTTGTATATACACATAATAAGATTTCTTCACTTTTAAATAATTTTTATGGCCGGGTTCGGAGGCTCAACCTGTAGTCCCGCATTTTGGGAGGCTGAGGGGAGTGAATTGCCTGAGCCTGCCTGGGCAACTTGGCGAGACCTCATCTCTACAATAAATCAAAAAAGTTAGCCGGGCATGGTAGCGTGTGCCTGTAGTTACAGCTACTTGAAAGCCTGAGGCAGAAGGATCACCAGAGCCCAGCAGGTCGAGGCTGCGGTGGCTGGGAGTGTGCCACTGCACTCCCGTCTGGGTGACAGAGTGAGACTCCAACTCAAAAAAAAAAAATAATAATTTTTATTATCAAGTTTAGAAAAATGAGAACAATATAAAATTAGTGGGAAATCTGACCTTGTCTTTGTAAAACTAATCTATCAATGTCTGGTTTGATTAAAGTGGTTACAATTCTTAGTTCTCAAGGTGTTCATCAGAAATGTTTGTTCGAATCTTGCTCTTTGTGTGCTTCATAACTGAAAACAGCTGCTCACAAATGTGTGTGCTGCAAAAAAGCGGTATCACAAGACATGATTGTGAACTTCAAAAATAGAACTACACATGGAGTCACGAAGGAAATAAACACTGGAAAAAACACATGATGTTAAAAGATATTGTGGGGCCGCATTACTAGCTGTCACGGGCCACATGTGGCTTACAGGCCATGGGTTGAACATACATGCCTGGTTTAGCACATGAGGGAATAAAGTTCAAGAAAGTATGTGGAAGTGGGGGACAAAAAAAATTAATGAAAAAAATGGATAAAAATTGTTAAATTTTATGAAAACTATAAATTCACAGGTCCAAGAATGTCTATAAATCCTCAAACAGTATAAACACAAAGTAAAATGCATGAAAACACACCATAATCAACTTGCTGAAAACCAATGATAAAGAAAAATCATAAAAGTCAGATTCTGATATATGTTACAACATGGACAAACCTTAAAAACATTATGCTAAGTTAAATAAACCATACAGAAAAGAATAAACACTGTATAATTCCATTTACATAGGTACCTAAAAGAATCAAATTCACAGAAACAGAAAACCAAGGGATGGAGGGAGAGGGGACTAAGGAGTTATTTAATGGATATAAAGTTTTGGTTTGAAATGAAGAAAGCGTTCTGGAGATGGATGGTGGTGATGGTTGCACAAAATGTATAAGGTCACTTAACTGAAACATGGTTAAAATGCTAAATTTTATGTTATATATATTTTACTACAATTATTAAATGCGTATCTGAATATAGTGAGGATAACAAACTAAAAAAATACAAGAGGAAGACAAGTGAATGGTATCCTTAAAGTGCTAACAAGAAAAAGATCATCCAAGATTTCTCTATCCAATGAAACTATCCTTCAAAAGTAAAGGCAATGTATTTTCAGAAGAAAACTGACAGAATTCATTACCAGCAAACACTCCTAAAAATACTAAAAGAAATACCTTCAGACTAAAGAAGAATGACACTAGATAGAAACTTAGACCAATATAAAGGTATGTAGAGTTACCAGAAATAGTTAATTAGTGAGTAAATATAACAAACTTTTTATACTTTTTAGAATTTCTTTAAAAGACAGCCAGGAGCAGTAGTGTGTGCCTAAGGTCCCAGGTCCTTGGGAGACTGATAAGGGAGGATCATTTGAGCTCAGGACTTCGAGGCCGGCCTGGGCAATATAACAAGACCCCATCTCAAAAAACAAACAAACAAGCCGGGTTCGGTGGCTCAGCCTATAATCCCGCACTTTGGGAGGCAGAGGCGAGTACACTGCCTGAGCCCACAGGTTCGAGACCCACTCGGGCAACTTGGTGAGACCTCATCTCTAATAAAAATCAAAAATTAGTCGGGTGTGGCAGCGCGTGCCTCTAGTTCCAGTTACTTGGAAGGCTGAGGCGGAAGGATTGCCAGAGCCCAGCAGGTCGAGGCTGCGGTGGCCAGGAACGGCCACTGCACTCCAGTCCGGGCAACAGAGTGAGACTCCAACTAAAACAAACAAACAAACAAACAAACAAACAAAAACAAATAAATACAAAACTGTCAAAAGCAAAAATAACAAAAAAGTATTATGAGATTTATAGCATATGTAGGTATAAAATGTACAACAATAATATCACAATGAACAGGTGAAGAAAAATAAAAGTATACTCTTATAAAGTTCTTACACATATGGAAATTAATGTATATTATTTTTAAATAGATTATAATAAGTTCAAGATATATGCTATAAATTCAAGATAAGTCTGGGCTTGGTGGCTCAGTCTGTAATCCCAGCACTTTGGGAGGCCGAGGTGAGTGGACTGCCTGAGCCCACGGGATCAAGACCAGCCCGGACAACTTGGTGAGACATCATCTCTACAACAAATAAAAAATTAGCCGGGCATGGTAGTGCGCACCTGTAGTTCTGACTACTTGGAAGTCTGAGGCAAAAGGATCACTGGAGCCCAGCAGGTCAAGGCTGCGGTGGTCAGAAGCGTGCCACTGCACTCCAGTCTGAGCGACAGAGTGAGACTCCCACTCAAAAAAAAAAAAAACTAGTCGAATGTGGTAGCGCACATCTGTAGTTCCAGCTACTTGGAAGGCTGAGGTGGAAGAATCACCAAAGACCGGCAGGTTGACACTGGGGTGGCTGTTGAATGTCCCAATCCAGCCTGGGTGACAGAGTGAGATTCCAACTCAAATAAAATAAAATAAAATAAAATAAATAAATTCAAGATCAGGGATTGGCAAACTACGGCCCATAGGTCAAATCCAGACTTGTAAAGTCCCTGAGCTAAGAATGATTTCTACATTTTAAATGATCAAAAAGAATCAAAAGAATAATAATATTTTGT